GTATCCTTGTGAGCCATTGTTATGCGGTCCAAGAAGTCTTACTGGTGCTTCTTTTTGTGACATTAATTTGCAGCAAATTTTTAAGGAAGAAAACAAAAGTACGTAAAAGAAAGATTTTAACGGAGAAACCGGAAACAGTGGAGAATGTTGAGGGCGCATTTGATACGTATGTCCCAAAAGAGCAGGATGGATTCGATAACTATATGCCGCAATCGTCAGTTTTTGGGTAAGTTTTTCTAAAGACAGAAAATGATCGAAATTTAGGGGTAATTAATGTGTTTAAGAAAATTCTGAGTGGAAGTTAAAGGAAAATAGAAAATTAAAATTCGTTTTAAATTGAAAAATATGTGATTGCTGTGCGTACTTTTTTGCGTTTTTTGCATCTATTTAATGCAGAAATGCATACTGTCGAGGGGTTGTCTGTGTGTCTGTGTCTGCTTGTGTGTCTGTACCGATTTTTCATCTCGAAACCTACAAAAGCTATAAGGGTGAAATTTTGGGAAGTTGATCTACATGCATGTGCGTGTCGTATCCCCAAAATGGACACTCTTGCTACGTGTTCCCAAGTACGGACCCCAGGCAAGTGGTTAACTAGGGAAACTGAAAAGCTAGAAAGCTGGAATTTTAAAGAGATGTTTCTTGTCAACGTTAGACTTTTGAGTTCAAACTCAGACCCATCCCCTCTCGCAGGTGTGTGTTGCTCCCAAGTACTCGCCAGTGAAAATTTTCGGCGGTTAATTTGCTAACTCGGGAACCAGAAAAGCCAAAAATCTGAAATTTTAAGGGAATTTTTTCTCACATTAGTAATGGCCGGTGTCAATTCTTTTAGTTAGAAGCATCTGCCGAAAAAAAAAACAGTGCCGTTAAGAACAAAAACCTGCTTGGAACTGTGTAGAAAACTCATCTTCGTACTTTCAGTCCGGGCGTTGGCCAATTATTTCCGTTTAGATTATATAGTCCGAGCCGTTGAAGTGCAGCTCACAGAACCATATTTCGAGACCGATTTACGAATTTCCACTTCGTTTAATTCAGTTCAGAGCACTGATGGAATACTTGTTAACTGTGATAAAATTATTGAAGGATGGGGACGAATCGATGTAAAAGGGAAATTTTGGCGGAGAAAGCCGAAGCAGCGGAGGATTTTGCAGGCGAATTTGAAACATATGCTCCAAAAGAATGTGATGAATTCGATACCTATGTTCCATCATCTCCAAAAAAGCGGTAAGCTTGCTTTGTGAAACATTAAAATGCACTTCTTGAACTTCAAGGATCAATATGCCATAAATTCTAGCTACTGGGACTTCAAGCGATTTTGCAACAGCATGAAGTACTGTAAAAATGCATGATCGCACGGGTTCGCCATCTAAAATCTCAGCTTTCCAGCTTTTCTGGTTCCCGAGTTAGCAGTTTTCCGGACAAAACTTTCACAAGACCGCACGTGAACTGGGAGCGTACCTGGGCGCTGACGATCGAATTTTGACGTTGAAAAAACTTATCGATTCTGAACATTGAATTTGCTAAATTCAGTTCGGAGAAGTGATTTTTTTTTTGCCATTTTGATGATAGGAACTTATCCAGACTGCCGCTCTATCCTTTTGGAGCTATGACTGCTTCGTCCCGGGCAGTACGTACAACTCCTAACGTAAGGAATGATAAGTAACGACCACTGGAAAGCCGAATCATAAGTGGACGGACCAGGTGGAGCGACCGAAGTGGGTTAAATTGATAAATAATTTGCGGTCTTTGGTAGGCCGAGCCGTAATTTCTGAAATAAACGGCCAGTCCGGACCATGGAAAATACGGAACGGCCGAAATCTTTAATGTTGGGGTGGAATTAGTTAATGGATTATAATGGGGGAAAGATAGTGGAGCTGCGAATGTGGTACAAACCGTGTGATATGTTGAAGAGGAGTGGAGAAGTGGGAAAGTCAGAGAGCAGTTTTTATGCTTCCTGTTTTGGGGCAGTAAATTCCATGAATCAGGATATCTGAAACTGTCATAATAGTCCAATTTTCCATTAATGCATCTGGCAACTTTTCCAGTTGTTTTGACCAGTGCTACATCGCCCAGTGATGGTCAACTTGTTGTTAATCTTGACATTCGTTTCATCTCCCAAAGAAATCCCCAGCTCTACGATTCTTCCAGCAGAAGTACTTGGCTAGGATTTTAGCTTTTTTGAGACTTCCTTGGTTTTATTTTCATCTCAGAGATTGCCAAGAACACAGTGGGGTACCACACTAATTTTATCAAATAATTTTGGCATTTCTTTCATAAAACTGTTTTTCTGCGATCAAGTTTTACTCCTAAAAATTCGATTTTTTTCGATTTTTCAATTTCTTAATCCAATTTTTTCTAATTCGATTTTTTTGCACTTTTTCTTGCGCACAGATGATTTTGAGTTCATTTACCAAACTTCTGCCGTACGATCATATCTTTTTTCCAACTTTCTACCTTTTGATTTTATGAAATTTCAAATATAATATTGAGGATGTACATTTTGCAATGCAAAATAATGAATGCATGCGCATTTTTTTAGGTTAATTTGAATTATTTTTTTTTTGCTATGACTTTTCTTTGCCTAGAATTCATCCAGCAGCTTCTGAATGTATAAGATTTTATCCTTAAGGTCCATAGATCATTTTCATTCATATCTGTTTCAGGAAAAAAATAAAACGCCTTGGAAAACGTCCTAATGGCTGGAAGCAATCGGTATCGCGCTTGTTTGTTGAAGAAAACGGTCCAGAAACGCAAAATGGCTATGAGGAGTATTCTGCATGGTAAGTTCCAAGGCGGGTAAAATGGAAGGGGGGGGGGGGGGGGGGGGGGGAAGGG